CACTGCCTCGCCTCGTTGGTTCTCCAGTATGCCATGGCCCAGGTCCCAGTCTCTACAGTAAGTCCTGCAGCCTGAAAGGCATAGGTCCACACACTTTTCCTAACTCCTAAGAAGAACAGTGAGAACTAAGGCAAAAGGAAGTTCTCATTTTACCTCAAGGGCCAAGACTCAAAGATGTGCTGACATTGTGGGGCCATGCATAGTACAGCAAGCCTGGAACCTGCTCAGCTGGCAGGAAGTCCTACAGCCTTGCCTTATGGCCCCTCTACACAGTGGTGAGTGAAAGTAAAATCCAACAAAACCCGGCATTTCAACTTCTGCAATCTCTTTCTGCTTCAGCCAAGGGTTCTGTCTCTGAATTTAACAACTACGGCTCTGAAGTGGTAGCTGGTTATAGTACTAACAACAGACATTTCAAAGTGAGATTTGGCTAGACTCAGTAATGAGAGTAAAGGGACCAGAGAGATCAGCCATGAACAGTGACACTCAAGACATCACAGTGATACACTAAGGGAGACCAGCAGAGGTTTGCTCAATGTTTACTCACCTTTGTCCCCAAACATCCCACCTCCACACCCAGCTCCTGGTTAATGAACAGAATTTAGTTGCTGTCTCTTGAACTGTATAATCTGCTCCACGAAAAACAAACCCAGTTTGTCTCTAAGCACTCCTAAGTCCCTAACTCCCTGGCTACAAGCAGTCTATGGAAAACAGCTGTGGCAAAGTAAATCATTCGACCCTGAGAAACACCAGAGTGAATGGGTTCTTTTTTTTCCCCCTTTTTCTTTCTTCTTCTTCTTCTTCTTCTTTTTTTTTTTTCCTCCTCTAAGTATGTTTTGAAGTCCTGGTTGGAAAATTAGTGAAAATTGTAAATCTGTTTGCAAATCTGGTCTTGTCTAACTCTGAGATTAGGGCAAAGATTCCAATTTAAAAGTAAAACCATGACAACCCCATGAAGTGTGTCCTCAGGCACTGCCAACAGGGCTTTTGCTCACACCCACAGCAATGGATTTATTACTGGCACCCGACACGTTCCCCGTCAGACACCCCTGGAGTATTCACTTGAGACAGTGGGGTTCAGGCTGCACTTCCTCTGCAGACCAATATATTATTATAAATTGAGCTAAACTGTTTCCTTTCAGTAAGTACTGTGAAGTTCAGACTTCAGTTTTCAGAAGAGGGCCCAGAGACTTCCATGGTGCTCGTTATTATTTGGATTTTTAAAAGCTACTGTGAAAAGACAAAACTATACAACAGTTGCTTTTATTGTTTTTTCAAATTGAGTTTTTAATATAGGAGATGGGAGAAAATTCGTTTTAAAAATCAAAATATGATATCTTCATAAAAATGCATTGTAAATGCAGACCTTGGGGTTCACTTGTTATGTTATGCCTAAAAGAGTATAGTAGAAACCAACAATGTCACCTACATCTGAAGGCAGGAGGTAAAAAGTACTAGATTCTTATATAGTTTATCACCTATAAGTCTACGATGTTAGAGACTCAGTGACTGTTTGAACATACACAATTCCTTGTAAAGACTACATCAAGAGGATAATGTAATCAATGAAATAATGTTTTGAAAATGTAATTGATTAAATGTTTTCACTACTAATCCAGTTATTAAACTGGAAAGAAAAAATACTTTAAAACTGAAGAAAAAAAAACAAATAAAACACAAAACTCTGTCATTCTTTCTTCCCCTCCAGAACTATGAGGCTTAACGGAGAGAAGTGGACTGAAAGCCCAAAGCCGGAGGAAGCGCAGGTGTAGGGTGAGGGGTCATGGGGTTCCCAGGGGAACACAAAGGCCTGGGGTGGGAATGATGAGCCTCAGTAGACTCTATGCCAGGCTCTAACTCTTCACTCTTATTAGCTGTCTACCATGTTTTTTTGTTTTGTTTTTTGTTTTTTTTTGTTTTTTGAGACAGGGTTTCTCTGTGGCTTTGGAGGCTGTCCTGGAACTAGCTCTTGTAGACCAGGCTGGTCTCGAACTCACAGAGATCCGCCTGCCTCTGTCTCCTGAGTGCTGGGATTAAAGGCGTGTGCCACCAACGCCCGGCACCTGTCTGCCATGGTTAAGTCTATCAGTCTAACTAGACTTCTTTGATTAGAATAGCTAATATTTGCTCCTCAGGGTTGGTTACAAGCAAAATAACAGAATGCTTTACTTGTCATTAATTCATAATAAGTATGTTTGCTATTAATATTACTACCATTCCAGATATGCACGTAGAGGGAGAGACTGAGCAGGAATATGGTACAGCACATATGAAGTTTGTTTCTATATTCTTTCCTTTTATATTCTACAGTTTCTTTTCTCTAGGATGAACATATGCTGCTTTTTTTCTTTGTTAATGATGTATACACATGTGTGTCTGTGTGTAGATATATGCATGTGAGAGCAGGTACAAACAGAGACCAGAAGAAGTCATCAGACATCCTGGGCTTACAGGCAGTTATAAGCAACACAACACAGGTGCTAAGAATTGAACTGCTCTCTGCAAAAGGAGCACACATTCTTTACCACTGAGCTCTCTCTCCCGCCTCCATATTCTGCTTTTTAACCAGAAGAAGTGAGAGGACGTCATGAAATGCACAGAATGCTTCACTTGTCCCACCAGAGCAGAGCTTCTACAGTGCAAACCCACTGGTTTCATAAACAGATAAACAGGAAGCTATTTGAAAAGGCTCCATTCTGGCTCTTATCTCATCTACATATGCAAATTTTAAGAGAAATTACCATTACTGAGAAAGTATCCCAAAAGAAGTCTTTTATTTAGATTCAAGCCAAATATTCAAATTTTGGGACAACATAAATACTTACAATCTTTTTATACAAATGGCATTCAATGATAGGGACAGAGACTTCAGAGTAAAAGTATGGATCCTGAAATCATACAGGGGATGAGGGAAAGACATGACCTTAATGCTGCCAACATCCAGAATTTCAGCATCCTGAGATCCAGATGACATTATCACAATTAGACTGAGAAAAGCATTACATGTGAAGTCTGTAGCTGCTATGGCCTCTGTTTTCGCCACATATGAATGGAGTGACGGACAAATCTGAAGCTCTGACATCTCCCTCAGAATGCTGTTTAGAGTCTGACATTGCTTAAGGGAACAGATTTTGTATACTGTTGTAGCAAGATTGCCAATGGGAAGCAAGAACTGAACCTGAGCTGCAAACAGATACAGCCCTAAGTCACATGGCTACTTCCAATCCACATGCAAACACCAAGGAAAATAAAAAAAAACTCAGAATGGCCAACTTCAGAATTAATACTCCCTCGATATTAATGTTATTAGTGTCTCTGTCTGTCTGTCTGACCCACCCTCGCTTTCTCTAATGTGAATAATTTTTATCTCACTAAGGATATCTCATTTTAGCATACATTATGCTAATCGAATAATAAAAATCTAATGTCTGATATTAGGAATAATAATGAGATTCTTTTCCTTCTTATGGTTGTGCATTTTTATTGGCATATATTTACTGTGTGCTTAAATCTGCATAGTATTCAAAAAGTCTCTTGCTTAAACAAAGAACAAGACTCAGACTCTCCGATCCAACAAAGAGAAGTAGTGTGTACTTAATATTCTTTCAGTTTCTCTACATTTATTATTTACAAAACACTTGTAGTTAGGTCAACTAATATAAAATAATATAATATAAAAATCTCCTTCAAATTAAGTCTATTTCAGTAGTGGAAAAAATTAAGTTTTTGAAAGAAATAGTACATGAAACACAGAGTTAGCAAGTGATTATGGCAAGGGCCTGGACACTGACATGCAATAAACAGAAGTCTGGAAAACACTAATGTGCCATTTCATATTATGAAGTCCTAGGAGGCAAGGAGCAAGATTTATTGTGCTCAAGTGTCTCCTCAGAACCTAACTCCATAGCTGCAATATAGAAACTCCACAAATATGAAAAGTAACAGGAAAATAATCTTAACCAAAAACTGATCTCAAGCCCTGGTTCTTCCTAGCTAAACAGTCAACAGACCATTAGATCTCTGCAAGCAGACAGGTTCAAGAAAAACCTGGGGACACTCAGAGGGCACAGCAAAGGAAAGAATAAACTGTGAGGAGCTGTTTATGTTTATGTGTATATGTGTGCATGCTCTTGTGATGGTGTACCTGTGTGTGCCAGTACATGTGTGTGTGCATGGAAGCTGGAAGTCAGCCTAGGCACACTTCCTCTGGTGTGTTTGTTGAGACGTAGTCTCTCATTGGCTTGAGCTGGCTAATCAGCAAGTCCCAGGGATGCTCCTGTCTCCTCTCTAGTACAGGGATTTACTAGGGCACATCTCACACCGTGGATTATTTCTGTGGATCAAGCCCAGGTCCTCAAGGTTGTATCGATGAGCCATCTCCCTAGCCCAATAGAAGCCTCACAAGTAAACAAACAGAAGAAACACATCTTTGCACATTTTGCAGTGGAAAACAAGTTGAGAATAAATAACACCAAAAAATTCTAAAACAAAGCAGCAAGAATCAAAGCACCTCAAACTCCACAGCTTCATTTACTGTAATCCCATAAATGATACTTTGCAAATAATTAAAACACAAGCAGAGAGAACAATCCTGTGGCCAAGGCTGAGAGGAAACTGGCTTTTTGCTCTTGCAGAGGACCCGTGTTCAGTTCCCAGCACCTATATTACATGGTGGCTCACAACTGTCTATAATTCCAGTTTTAGGGGGTTCAACCTCTTCTCACCTCTATGGGCACCACATATGCATCTGGTACACAGACATACATGCAGGCAAAGCTACACACACACACACACACACACACACACACACACACACACACACACGCACACTATGTGTGTGTGTGTAAAGAATAAATTAATGAGTTACATGTTCTCAAAAAATCATTATGAATATAAAATATTTAAGAAGTTTACTACACAAGACAGACCCCAAAAATGCATGCCCCCACAACTCTAAGCTCAGACAAGTAAAACAGCAGCTCAGAGTCTCTGAACATTACCCAGCATGAAATAGCAGTCTCCCTGGTGAAGAGGTATTGCCAAGCCTGGCGTCTCGATATCCCACGATATCTTGAAACCAACATGCCAAGTGTCGGGATCTCTGCCCTCGAAGCTGGACTCATCCTCACTTTCGTCCTCAGAGCCTGTGGAGACGGGAAGAGCTTAGCAAAGGCACACTTCATCTACATTCCTGAGATTTCAGCTATTACCTTAGGAATTACTGGATTCTTAATAAAATATGGATGTTAGGTCAAGTCTTGTGTCATAATTTCTAAAAAGACATTTAAGAATATTCTTAATATTAATGGATTAATCTTTTCCACAAAAAAACTTAGATATAATAATGAGGAAATAACCACAGATTAAGAGGAGAATAAAGAATTATTTTGTTCAGTTTGAAGCAAGTAAATTAGGAAAGGTCAATTAAAGGCATTTCAAGAAGATACTAATCACTACATCCCTGGCTGTCCTGGAATTCACTCTGTAGACCTAGCTGGCCTTGAATGAAGAGATCTGCCTGCCTCTGCCTCTCAAGAGCTGGGATGAAAAGTGTGAGCCACAAGGCTTATGCCTTTACTTTAAAAGATCCAGTGTTGGTAAGAGGGTGGTAACATGGATCCCCCATACTCTCTGTGAAGGACAATCTGGCAATACATATTATAACTGAATGCATGAAGCATGAGTGCACACTATTGTTGCTATTTGCAGAGGGTGACAGGCACTGAGCAGGCACTGCAGCTTACAGTACTGTTTGCTTACAGTACCAACTTTAAAACAAAGACCAGGGATAACTTCAGTATCCACTAGCAGGCTACTGCTTGAAGAAATTATAAAATGCCCGGACAATATAATATTATAAGACCACCACCAATACTATGACTCAACAGTAAAGTGGAACCACCTTAAATATTTTCAAGAGAAAATTATTGCACAAATTTATACAAAGATGCAGTGCCATTTCTATGACATTTCTGGAAAAATAACCAAAATTTTATAGGTCCAGAGTGGAAGAGACACATAAAGAAGCTGAAGGTGCACACTAGTCCTCACATTCACTAAGTCTTGCCGGGGATGGCCCTACAGATAAACTGTTCAAGTTCATCTAGAAAATATTATTGATCACTTGATATATCTTTAGATCTGTGCAAGGCACTTGGGGAACCCAGCCTGGGTAGAGAATTACTTCTACTGGAGTGTTAGTGATCAACACTGGTAACTGGTAGGACAGCATTTCAGATTTAAATGCCATTACACTTTAAACCACTGGACTGTACTCTGGTCCTCAAGGGCAAGATCTGAGGTTTGTCTTCAGAGCGCTGCAGACTGGTGGTCAGAGGCCATTGACGGGCACTAGCCCGTCAATTCCCACCACTCAGTCCTGTGGTAGGTGGCAGGGAAAGAAAATATTAATTTAAAAGGAAAAAAAAAAAACCTCAAACATCTGTTTGCTAGTTTGCTTTTAAAAGAGCAAAGAGAACTGGGGAGATGGCTCAGAGGTTAGCAGCACAGGTTTAGTTCCCAGAATACACATAGTGGCTCACAACTGCCTATTATAACAGTTCCAGGGATTCATCTTCTGGCCTCCACAGGCTGCTACATGCAACCACACAGGTAAACACAGATAAACATAAATAACACAAGTTTTAAAAATGAATTTTAAAGAACAAATAAGAGTATAACATTACTGCTAAAGTAGAATAAACACTAAACAGGTTTCAAGATTCTTTAACAAGGACTATAAAGTTCAAAACAGAATTCCTGCAGAAAAAAATGGGACTTGAAAGTCATAGTGTTCCGACTGGCAGGGATCACTGAAGACAAAATGATGCAAAGCGGGATGTCCTAAGGAGGACAGCAGAGCACACATTATTGGTTCCACCAGTACACATCACCTAACGCTCCCAAAGTGCCCAGATCTCAGACAGCGCGTGCCCACACGGACTCCCTACATTCTGAACATCAGCCTTTACCACAACCATATATGAGTTGAAAGCAGAGGAAGGAAAGGAGAGAAAAAGATGAAGTAGAGAGGGACACAGGGAAAGGAACTTCCTTTATGACTAACCACTCACATTACTTTGTGTAAGTATAACGAAAAAGAACAGGTCAAAAAGCCAAGTTTCAGTCTCTGTAGAGAAGAATGCTAGTAAATGACCTTTATGGCCGCATCTAACTTCCTTAAGTTCTCTAAATCTGAATCTAAAGATAGAACATTGTCTAATGAGCAGACTCTCAGCCCTTTTCAGCTTTGTTCTTCTTCCTAATATGTGTTCCCTGCCCCACAGATAGGTTTCACTATTTAGCCCAGGCTTGCTTCAAAGTCTCAGCAATCCTCCTGCCTCTGTCTCCCTGCTGCGAATAAAGGTACCACCATACCCAGATGCAGTACATGTTTTGTTTGTTTGTTTGTTTGTTTTGGTTTTTTTGAGACAGGGTTTCTCTGTATAGCTTTGGAGCCTATCATGGCACTTGCTCTGTAGACCAGGCTGTCCTCGAACTCACAGAGATCTGCCTGCTTCTGTCTCCTGAGTGCTGGGATTAAAGGCTTGTGCCACCAACACCCAGCCTGCAGTACATGTTTTTATGGATACCTTTCATTTAAGAGGAACTTTCATTTCTTTAAGAATACCACCATGTAATAACAAGTTTAGAGCAATTTCCTAGGTTAATCCAAAAGCCATTTTTAAATATATCTTTTGAAACAGGAATGATGATTAAAAGAAAAAAAAAGCTTTACTATCAGGGGCACAGCTAACTTTCTAGTTGTGGCTCTTGAACCTTTCTAGGGGATCTGCAGGAAATGGTCACCATGGGCAACAGGATGGCTGTAGACAGTACCAGCACAGGCTACTGTTACCATATGGGATACATCCTGCATATACTTCTCTTTATGCATAATGCATAGCTACACTTGAAAACACTGGAATGTGGTCTAGCGTTGGTGGTGCACGCCTTTAATCCCAGCACTCGGGAGGCAGAGGCAGGCGGATCTCTGTGAGTTCGAGGCCAGCCTGGTTTCCAGAGCGAGTGCCAGGATAGGCTCCAAAGCTACACAGAGAAACCCTGTCTCTGGGGAAAAAGAAAAAAGAAATAGAAAAATAAAAAGAAAAGAAAATAAAAGAAAAGAAAGAAAAAGAAAACACTGGAATGTGCTACAGGGGAGCTGGTGAACCTGAAAGAACTGAAAGGCACTCAGCTCCGCCTGCACTGCACTGCCTTAGCAAGTCTAAATCAGTCAGCAACTGACAAACTACTCTGTTAGGGGCTGGAGAGATGGCCCAGCAGTCAAGAGGCGCTCTTCCAAAGGGCCTTGATTCCTAGCACCCACACGGCAGCTCACAACTGTCAGTAATTGCAGTTCTAGGGGATTTGACACCCTCTCCTGATCCAGGGAGACCAGGCAAACACATACACACAAGCAGGCAAAACACCCCAATACATAAAATAAATAACTAAAAAAAAAATCCTTTGTATTAAAATACAAATTTCAAGTATTCTTGAATTATAAGAGTATGCATCCCTGAGTCAATTACACATGGCTACAGACACAAGGCATGACTTCTCTGCTGTCCAGAGCCCCCAGGCAGCCACTGCATTTCACTCATTTGTGAGACTGTTCTGGATCCTAGACCATGCTTTACAGCGAAGACACAGAGTGAGCCTGACTACAAATAAGTCTCATGACCTGCTGCCAACTATAGTTTAGCCAGACCCTACTCATGCTCAGTCATTACAGCATCTCACAGTAAGATGGTCAGGGAACACTAAGACCACAAGATCCACCCACCCCCAGAGTACTTAGGATTTGACCATTTACAGAAAATACTTGCTGATCTCATCTATGGACTGCTGATACTGGTGATTTGGAGGCGATGCCAATGGTAAATACTGATCAAGCCAAGCCTAAACAAAACAATAATGAATCATATGACTCACACCTGAGAGCAGAATGTGACTAACAACATCCAACATAAAGTAAAGTAGTTGATCTCCAGCTCTGTGGGAGAAGATAATGGTGTGAAAAAGCATGTGCTTACACATCTTTGTTTCCCCAAGGTTGCAAGATGCTCTGTCCAGGTGGCCTTAATGGTAACATGGCAAACAGCCACTAGCACGCATGTGTGTGGCATTTAAGGGCTGTGTGCACTGCCAAGTGTACACATCCTGGGATGTGGTACTCTTCTCAATCTGGAACCAGTAAGACCCTGAACCACAACCAGACAGCAAGAGCAATCAGTGCTTCCTGGTGTCCCTCCATATCATAACCAACCCAGCACCTTTGAAATGAGCTCATTAAGATGATGTTTGATGGACAGTTCCTCCCCCCTTGGGCTATGGAGGAAAGAGAGAAGCTTAAGTGTGATAAATTTTTTATTGCTTATATGTAGTGTCGCTCACTTTTGCAGGAAAACTGACTTGTAATTATCTACAGCAACTGCCAATGATTACTCTTGCCCCATGCCATTTGAATCAGGCCGAAGCAATGGGTTCCTACTCGCCTTTAAGTTGGAAGGATTTAAGTGTGGAAAGATTCTAAGTGTCTCTGTTTGTCTGGCACATGCAAGCTCCTGCAAACCACAAACTTAAGAAGGTAAAAAGATTTAACAAAATTCAGAAGAATAGAAATCTAAAGGTCAAGTTTCAAATATCCAAAATGTCCTCAAAAATTCACCAGTTTGATTTGGTTTGGGTTTTTTGTTTTGTTTTGTTTTTGTTTTTTTACCCTAAGTAGTTTTGGATAAAAATGACTCCATTTAATGATAAGTGAAGCCAAATACTTTCTTTACATTTTAAAGCTATCTGCAACAATACAAGAAACAAAGCCAGAGGTGTCAGTGTGATGGTAGAGATTAAAATACTAATCAGAATACATCACAAAATTTCCATAATTAATATATACATTAATGCTATATACCAATAATTTCCTTTAGATGCAAGTCTACAGACACCATTATCACAAACAGAAAGTGAAACCCTCAGTCCTATTCCCTCAGTCAACAGCTAAGATTTCAGTGCTTCTACCTGTGTAATTACTTTGACAACTGCCTTGAACTCAACCTAGACATCCCTTCTAGTTCAAGTCAAGGCTGTTTTGGAGACAGAAGGCCTTGAAACCAAACCCAGGGCCTTGTGTATGCCAGGC